GGCCGCCCCGTCGATTCAGGCATCCTCCGGGCCTGTGGGAGTCAGCCCGGGCGCGCTCCTGGCAGGAGTGAGTGCGGGGTTCCTGTTTGCGGGGTGAATGGTCACGGTCCTCTGGGGGCAGCTGAGATGGGGTCTGACGCCTCCTAGACTCAGGGCCGTTTCCCCTCCCTGCAGAAGCAGCTGTCAGAGCCGCGGAGCCACCGATATGGCCTCACCTGCCTCCTCGCTTCACAGATGGGGAAACCGAGGCCTGGGGGGGGGCACCCAGCTGGGCTGGGCTGTCCTTTTTTTTAATTCAGAGAGGAAGGGAGAGGGAGAGAGAGAAACATCAATGATGAGAGAGAATCATGGATCGGCTGCCTCCTGCACGCCCCACACGGGATCAGGCCCGTAACCCGGGCACGTGCCCTGACCGGGAATGGAACCGTGACCTGTTCCTAGGACGATGCTCAGCCCCTGAGCCACACCTGCTGGGCTGAGCTCGCCCCCCCCCCATTCCCACCCCCATCGCCTCCTGTGAGTGAGTGAACGCCCCAACCCCGACCTCGCCCCTGCTTCCCGGGGCGCGTGTGGTCCTGGCCTTCCTGACACCGCACCACCTCGCTCTTCAGCTCTTCATCGGGTTCGGCTTCCCCTACGAGGGCCCCGCGCCCCTGGAGGCCATTGCCAACGGCTGTGTCTTCCTGCAGTCCCGCTTCAGCCCGCCCCACAGCTCCCTCAACCACGACTTCTTCCGAGGCAAGCCCACCTCCAGGGAGGTCAGTGGGGGGACCCAGCCCCCATCTGGGGGTCTGAGATGGGGAGCCTGCAGGGCCTGGGAGAGGGTGACGGAGGCGTGGAGCAAAGGGGCGCGGGGACCAGTGGGCGGGCCTGGCACCGCACACCCGCTGCCGTGTCCGCCAGGTGTTCTCGCAGCACCCGTACGCCGAGCGCTTCATCGGCAGGCCCCACGTGTGGACCGTGGACTACAACAACTCGGAGGAGCTCGAGGCCGCCCTCAAGGCCATCATGAGGACCCAGGTGAGCCTCAGGGCCATCGGCACCGCCAGCACGTGCCTGCCTTCCTGTCATTGGAAAGCGATGCCCTCCTGGTGAATTCCCACTCCCAGGCCAGGGCTGGCGGGTGTGACCGCGGAGCCCCCCTCACCGGTGTGTGAGGGTGAGGAGCACGGCTGAGGGAGACCTGAGGCCCCAGCCCGCTGGCCCCCAGCTCCGGGGCGGGGGCCTTCAGTCACCTCTCGGCCTCAGGGGGTTTGCCCGTTGGCACCTGTCCGTCCAGATGAGGCCATTCACGGTGAGGGGACGGGAAGCCGTGTGGGCGCCTGCCTCCTGCTGCCTCCTCTCTCAGTGTCGCAGCTGATATTCCTGGCAGGACCAGCACCGGCCATGCCTGTAATTACACCCCATGGGTGACCCTCCCCGGCTGTTGCCGTCTCTGGCAGGAGGTCCCGGCAGATGGGACTCGGCTGGCAGGGGCCTTTGCATCACCACTTGGCCCGGGTTGGCCGGGAGCAGGCAGAATATGTGGGGGTAATCCCTTCTCTAAAAATCAATGGAAAAACAGCCGTGGGTGAGGAGTAACAAACCAAAACAGAAAGACAAGAAGCGAGGACCCAGGCGCCGGGGGTCTGGGGGTCACGAAGGACAGTGGGCCTGGGCCTGTCCAGGTGGGGTGGTGTTTGGGTGGCTTCCTGGAGGCAGTGTCGCCTGAGGGGAGGGTGGACGGGCTGGGTTGGCCGTGGGAAGAGGCGTCAGGGCCCGTGACCGGATGGAGCGTTGACATGACTGGAAGGGGGAAGCTCAGTGAGGCTGGGACCAGCGTGGGAGGGAGGGCCTGGCCTGGGTCTCCTAGGTCCTGAGCCCCGGGGAGCCCCGGGGGGTGCCCTGAGGAGCAGGGAGTCCGAGCAGAGGGGCCAGGTCTCTGCTCCCAGTGCTGAGCATGGCCGGGCCCCGGCACCAGGTCTCCTGCCCCCCGTCTGCCTGTCTGTCCCACAGGTAGACCCTTACCTGCCCTATGAGTACACCTGTGAGGGGATGCTGGAGCGAATCCACGCCTACATCCAGCACCAGGTAGGGGACCTCTGCTCTCTCCCCCCCACACCCCGTCCGACAGAGGAGGGCGCCGGGCCAGCACTGCCTGAGGAGGCCACCCATCCAGGGTGCTGCGTCCATTTAACTCCCTGTCCTTCCCCAGTCCGTCCATCTGTCTCCTTCCTTCCAGCACAGCCGGTGGGGGTGGGGGCCGAGGGGTGGGGTCAGTATTACTGTCAGAGGCCAGGCCTGAGGCCCCGGGTGGGTTCCCTGACCTCCGGGGCCTCCCTCCCACCCTCTCTGGAGACAGATCAGTGCCCACCCGGTGGGGCTGCTGCGAGGGTAAATGAAATGACGCCCGGAAGGCCCTGGCATTAGCTAGCCCCGGTGGTGACGCGAGCACGATGATGGGTTTGCCAGCACCCACGTGCCAGCCCGTGGCTCCCGTGGCCGCCGTGGCCCGCTGCCCTCTCACACTGCTCTCTCCTGGCAGGACTTCTGTGCAGCCCCAGGCCCCGCCCCAGCAGGGCCTGGAG